CATTCCCTTTGGATGTCCTGGATGGTGTCGTGACGGTCTACTTTCATCGCCAACTTAACTTTCGGGAATAACCAGAAATCTGCTGGAGCCAAATCTGGCGAATACGGAGGATGATCAAGGGCTGTGATCCCTTTTCTAGCCAAAAAATCGCCCACGATCTTCAATTTGTGGGGTGGGGCACTGTCGTGGAGGGGCGACCAGGAACCTTGCTCTCCATATTCAGGTCGAATTCTTCGAAGAATTCTTGCCCACAAACGATTCAGGACTCCCAGATAATAATCAGAATTCACTGTTTGTTTGACCTTCTGGCAGAAATTCCTTGTGAATGATTCCTTTGGAATCGAAGAAAACTGTTAGCAGTGTCTTTACTCGACTCTTTTGCATGCGCACTTTCTTTGGTTTCGGCTTCTTTCGGCTCAACCACGCTGCATTCTGCCCCTTTGTGAGAGGCTCATATTGAAAACACTATATCTCGTCACCAGTAGCAATCGATTTTGTAAATTTTGTATCACTTTGGGCCGGCCGACCGTAACATGTCTTTGCAGTCTTCCACTCTGCCATGTTTTTCATCGCCTGACAGCGCTTGCGGTACAAACCGCGAACAGAACTTCCGTTTGCCCAAATCCTTGGTCAAAATTTGATCACAGTCCTTTCTGGTATTCCCAAAAGCTCCTAATGAGTCTTGCTGAAACACATCTGTCTGATGCAAGGATTCCGGTCACTTTTTTTACATTTCCTTCAGTGCGACTTGTTCTCGACTTTGATGCACGTGGAGCATCTTCAATGTCCTCCCTACCGTCATGAAATACAGCATACCATCGAAAAATGTTCAAGCGATTCAAACAGTCACTACCGTACACATTATTCATCATTTCGTACGCTTCTCCGGCTGTTTTGTCTAACTTCAAACAAAATTTGATGTTGGCTCTCTGTTCAACCGCCATTTTCCGATGAGCGTCAGAACAGTACTGTTACATTCAAGATCAGAACACATGATGCAGCGATGCTTGCGGTTTAAAATTATAGATAGCCACAGCTGAAACTTCAAGAATCTTAATACCACAACTCGCCAACAGATGGCATTGCAGCGCAAAATATAAAAAAATGAGTCCTAACGGATCCTGAACATACTGCGTACGTGACCACCGCCCTGCAGTGTCGGGCCATCGACCAGATACACATACTACCGAATAGAGCGACGTATAAATAATCCCACGAGGCCCTGAAGAACCGTTTCGAGGATCAGCAGCAGGACTCCAGGTATCACAGGCAACTAATACCAAGGACCCAGGGTGTCAGAGAATCCTTGCAAGAACTTTCCAGCCATCGAATAGCTTGCCCATAGGCCTACTCTGCAGTACCGGAGTACTATATATGGAGGGAGGCAAGGTGTTCACCGTTGGATACAAGACCCCACCATAAAAATTCAGCTGCTACTGCTGGAAGGAGATAAACGGTGAACGAAGCTTTCGGACAGACCTTCGAGCTACAGGCCGTGCTCCTAGCAGCCAGAACCCACAGAACAAGCGCCAAGACATCCTGGGAAGCTCGTCGCCCCCAACCGGGAAGAGATCAGAGACAATCGGTGTGTTGTAGCTGTGAGGGGCCATGCCACTTCAAAGGTAACTGCACCCAAGCGAGGAAGGGAGGCAGAAAACGACTGCCACAGGATCCAGGACAAGAGACCTTAATAAGGTCATAACCACTTTCTGAAGAATCCAATATGATCTACGCTGCCAACTTATGGCACCAAAATGTCACGTGTAGTGTGGTACGCCTGACAAGAATGAGAGATTCTAGTTTGGATGACTGGATTTATTAGCACCTTGGTTACCTCTCTTAATAATGCTTAAATTACAGCACTATCACTGATTTACACACACTTCATAATTAACTGTTGCACGCACATACTAGTCCTCTCCAGGTAACATATCTCAACACAGAAATTAGTGCCACATTTCCAAAACATCTGTTTCCTATCTTTATGTCATGATTTTGCCCTGCATTTTGGTGATGAGACAGCAACATATACTTAGTTCTCTCTGTGTTTACTTCTAGACCAAACTCCTTACTTGCATCAATTAAAGGCTGTGTGTTTTTCTTTATGGTATATACAATTATCACCCAGTAGATTCACATCATCGGCATAGACCAACAGCTGATGTATCCCATTTAATTTCAGTCACACGTGGTCTTCTTAGACCTTTCTAATGGCATATTCTAAAGCAAAGTTGAAAAGCAGTGGCAATAAAGCATCTCCTTGTTTTAGACCATTCTGGATAGGAAAATTATCAGACAAATGTTTACCTACACGGACTTTACTATACGTTTCATTTAAACACATTTTAATCAGCCTAACCAGTTTCATGGGTATCCCAAACTCTATCAGAATATTGTACAATACTTCCTTCCTAACTGAATCGTAGGGTTTTTTGAAGTCTACAAATAGTTGATGTACTCTCTCATTGTACTTCCATTTTCTCTCCAGTATCTGACAAACGCAAAAGATCTGGTCAGTAGTTGATCTGTTATGTCGAAACCCACACTGATGATCCACAATAATTTAATCTATGCATGGACTTAACCTTGAGAGAATATTAGATAAAATTTTATATGAAGTTGATAGCAGTGATATCCCCAATAATTACTACAGTCAGTTTTATCACCCTTCTTGTGAACTGGTACAGTAATAGACTCCTTCCACTGATCAGGCAATTTTTCCTTATGCCAAATAGAAGTTTTAGCTTGTAGATGTTAATGTAATATTTCGTCTCCTACTTGAATAAGTTCTGCCAGAATGTCCCAATGAGGTCATTGGATTTTTTCCAGTTGACCTAATCCTTCCAGCCGCACTAGGCCCTGGGGTTTACTCAGCCTCTAACAGAAATGAGTACCAGGAATTAATTAAATAATTTTCCTGGGGAGTAAAGCGAGGCCGGCGCGTAAGGCTGATGACCTTACCGACATCTTCGAGGCGATAATCTACATAGTGTGGGACCCTCAACATTTCACAACCCTATGGGCCTTCACGGCCTGGTACAGGAATAGCTTAATTTTTTTACTTTTACCTGGTAATTTATACCGTTTCAATGTTGCAACAGTATTTCCAACCTCAAAAAGGCAAGAATCAGGTACTAATGGCTCCCCTGAATGTATTTCTATCTGCCTAACATCACTGATCCCATGTACATTCAATAACTGAGAGCAGTTCTTCCAACTATTCAAAATGTTGTGGGAATCTGCAAGAAGATCACCATTCTCATCCTTCACCAAGTTACTGCTAGGTTGGTAACCCCTCTTAAAGTCATTTATTCCTCTATACAGGTCTCTAATGTTCTTGTTCTTACTGCTCACTGCAAGCTCATCAATTTTGTCTTTCAGATATTCTCTTTTTTTGTTCCTGAAATGCCTGCTGGTTTCACGTCTTATATTGTTCAGATTATCCCATACATTCTGACAGCAAAGCTGCACTTAAAGCGCTTGACAAACACCAGATCAATTCAAAATTGGTCTGGGATTGCCACCAAACCCTCATGGAACTGGCCAAACATAACAGGGTACAACTGATATGGGTACCAGGGCACGAAGGTATTGCTGGTAATGAAACAGCAGACCAATTAGCTAAGATTGGAGCTGAACATCTGTTCACAGGGCTTGAACCAGCCTGTGGCATCTCTATATGAGTTGCCAAACAGGCAATCAGGGGCTGGACTAACATGAAACACAAGAAATATTGGGGATCCTTAATTGGACTCAGGCAAGTGAAGGGACTCATACAAGGACCTTCCATTAAAAGAGCAAAGGAACTGTTGAAATTAAACAGGAACCAGCTACGATGGGTGGTAGGACTACTTACAGGACACTGCCACCTCAAAGGACACCTATTCAAACTGGGACTAAGTGAGAGTCCCACTTGTGAAAGGTGTCAGGAAGAAAACGAAACAGCCACACATATCCTGCGTGAATGTGAGGCATTAGCTTATTTAAGACTTGGGTCAATACTTTATAGGGCCAAGTGACTATTTTGACGTCACCACGCTCAAAATCCTATGCTTCATCCAAAGCGCAGGGTTGCTAAAGGGATAATTAAAAAGGGGAAGCACAATAGACCACTGTATGTCGTGGTGCAAGGGCCGAGAAGGCCTACCCCTCATACATTCATTCATTCATCCATCCCCATTTAACTCGCTTGGATCCTGTAACATACAGCATTTAAAAATACGTTCATTTTAATCAGTATGGACCTATTAGAAAATGGTTGAAATACACAATCTTCAAGACAATCTCATAACTTATGTATATGTCACCAGGAAAGTTTAAAACAGGGACTATTACAGGTTCATCACTATTTATTACATTTAAATGGTCTTCATAAGCAAAAGAAAATAATGAGGAACGACTAAACATTCTCAGCATCTGTAATATTATCTAAACCAGAAAGTTCAAGATTCTTTCACACTTCTATATTTACAATAGCTCTGCTCATGCTGTGCACTAACAAGTCCCATCCATATTACAATCATCACTTGTTATGCACGAAGAACTTAAAAAGCTGAACTAACTCTTCAATATGTATGCTATATCACAGACTGGTTCAACTAACACTGAGCATACTATTGCCTTTTCTTGCTTTGAAACAATAATCAACCTGATAAGGTCATTGGATTTTTTCAGTTGACCTAATCCTTCCAGCAGCACTATGGCCCTGGGGTCGACTCAGCCATTAACAGAAATGAGTACCACGAATATTCTTGGAATTTTCTTGGGGGCAGAGGGCAGCTGGTGCGTAAGGCTGACAACAACTGATAAGGTCATTGGATTTTTTCAGTTGACCTAATCCTTCCAGCAGCACTATGGCCCTGGGGTCGACTCAGCCATTAACAGAAATGAGTACCACGAATATTCTTGGAATTTTCTTGGGGGCAGAGGGCAGCTGGTGCGTAAGGCCGACAACCTTACCACCATCTATGAGCCGACTGTCTAGAAAATGTGGGAACCTCAACATCTCACAACCCTATGGGCCTCCACAGCCTGTCACTGGGATACCTTTACTTTTTTTAATTTAATTTTAATCACCCATTTGGAATACTGAAAATCCTCAGATTCTGGACTGAGTTTCTTCTCCCAGATAAGGGAGAGGTATAGATGGCAGATTAATGGGACCTTTAATGACCATCAGCTATAAACACCTTCAACAGCAAAACTGTATTAGAGTTGGTCAAAGAGTTACAGAAATTGTTCATTATCATGAAAGTACCAGAAAGTAGTCATTTTATGCATGGTTCTCCCATTATGTGTAACATTAAGAAACTAATGGTGCTGATAAGTTTTCTCATATAATTCCCTGTTATAAGCCACATTGGTTCTACCATGATTTCACTACATTTTCATATATCAATATCTTGTTAATTCAATATACTAGCAACAATAATTCCAACTGTAAACATTCCTATTCTTACCTTAAACTGATGTTTGATTTTTACTGCACTAACAAACTGGGTTACATACTGAGCTGTTTACAGGGTATAAGTATCAATAACCTTGCCTCAACTTATGCGAGTGAAATACATGATACAGGAAAACTACAGATACCATTCGAATAATCTTCCCTATGCACATCCTGGCTGAAATCTGAATTGAGTACTTTCAAAATATGAGAACATTATTGTTAAAACAATGAGCTCAGTGTAACACTAGATCAAGGAGTAATTTAATCATAACCAGACAGCAAAATTATGATCTAATTAACAATTAAGGTCAACTCCCCAGTTTAAAGATGATTGCCCAAAGATAAACGCAGTCAAATTAAGTGACAGCTAATACATTTTGTTACTGGTTGGGCTATAATGAAAAGGACACTATTCAAGACCATGGTAAGCACCTTCGTTCTCAAGAAACATACTTCATGTACAGTACACAACTTTGGTAGAAGAGTCATCAAGAGTATTAAATAATTCAGGGCCGCACCAGAAGCATCCTCCGTGCACATTTCATACCAACCAGTTTGGCATACTGTGTAACTTCCTCTGCATCATTTTCTGTTTGATCCATTGTCACATAGGTGCAATACAACATGGCTCGGTGGTGGGACAGTACAAGTACCTGTGGGGAAGAATTTGATACATGGTTCAGTATGACTTCATAACACTGCAAAACTATGGAATCTGTCTCTACTTATTCATGAACAACCTCAAGTTACCGGTTATCTGAACAGGAAAAACAAACCATACCATCAATGAGTGCTTCTTTATTAGCAATTTACAAAATATGAGTTCCATTATTCCCTAAATTTCTTCAAGAACCAGTTGGGGGGGGGGGACCTTGGATGGCCAGACCCAAACAGTTAAATAAATATCACAAACTGTGTTTCTATAGATCATCATTTCAATAAAACTGGAATCTACACTTCAAAGCACAGTGGTGTCACCTGATATTCTTCCCACAAAGGGTTGTCATATGTTTTGTACAATCATCAGAACAGACAGCACTAAACAACTTGTCTTTGTAATGGTGACATACTCAGGTAGTAATTGAATTTCAAAATACTACTGATATGTTGGGATTTTGGACTTTATCCATCGTCCTGGTTTTTAAGATAACAAATAAAAACACGACGTTTTGGAAACTGGATCTGTTTCCGTCCTCAGGTGAAGGAAAACACCTATTCAGTTGGGTCCCTTAGAAAGAGCTAGCCTCAATCACTGGACAAACCAATGTCACAAAACATGAAGATTATAAACACCTGAGACCAGGCTAAGGCCATGAGAGCTAATAAGAAAAATGGAGTCATGACAAATTGTAGCAAACACTTACACGCTTGTAAGTGTTTGCTACAGTTTGTCATGAAGTTCCACGCTTGTAAGTGTTTGCTACAATTTGTCATGAATGTTCCACGCTTGTAAGTGTTTGCTACAATTTGTCATGAATATTTTTTTCTTATCAGCTCTCATGGCCTTAGCCTGGTCTCAGGTGTTTATAATCTTCATGTTTTGTGTTTGTCCAGTGATTGAGGCTAGCTCTTTCTAAGGGACCCAACTGAATAGGTGTTTTCCTTCACCTGAGGACGGAAACAGATCCAGTTTNATTATTCTGGTGTCATATCCTATGACAGCTGCGCAATGTGACACAATTCTGCTCATACCATATGACTGCCACACCATGTGTCACCAATTTCCTCCTATGCCAGACCCACTGTACAGCACAATATATGTTATACCATATTGTCTTTGGAGGATCACACTGTGTGACCTAACATCTGGAAAGTTCATGAAGGCACTCAGCTGATGACAAAGATCAAAGTCACCCACATACTTGCTAGAATCTTCCTCTATGAGGTCCATCCAGACCTCATTGGCAAAGAGGAGGATTATGTTGGTATAAAAATGGTTGTGAAGTTCTTGTGACTTGTTCACTTCAGTTCAATGCAGCACAAAGCAGACAAGTAAGTACTGAGTCAGTGTTCATACAGTCAGTGCAATTGGTCAGTGGGCCAGCTAATGAGTTATACAGTTCAGTTCAGCTCAGCTCAGTTGACCTCACTTCAGTTCAATTCAGCGCAGAGAAGCTGAAAGAAGTGGTGAGTGCAATGAATGAACAGTGGCAATGCTGTGAAGCAACAAGTGGAGAGAAAACTGATCTCAAGTGGTTATGGATGGTGAAACAGTAATGTAATGTGGATGGCCAGAGCATTGCTAGGTAACGGACCGGTAACAACCCATGACTTAACACACACAAGGCAACAATAAAAAAATCCCCATTTCTAGGCAACGACCTGTAAACAACCTTCACTTGAGTGTGCTACAACAATAGGAGTCAAGAATGAAAGATGTCTCCTCTGTGGTCCGTGTGAAGCTTATATAACGGGTATCTGTTATAGCTTAGGCTACAGTGTGAGACTGGTGCAGAGCGCTTATATGAGAAGTGAATGCAGTGACAGTTTTAGCTCTAGGGAAGTTACGAGCCAGTCGTGAATCCACAAGAATTTCTGGTTCCAAGGTTCCAGAGTGACTGAAGACAAAACAGCAAAAAGACTTTGAAGTGATCTGAAGAGCAAATTTTTGTGTTGAGATCCACTACTAGGAGACGATTAGTGAAGACTGAGAATCCTAGTGCATGTGCAACGGTGAACTGGAAAGCGTATAAATCAGTCATAGTACTATATTTAAGTGTGATTAAGAGAACTTGTGACCAAGGTGCTAATAAATCAAATCATCCAAACCAGAACCCACAATTAGCCAATGTGGCAGTATTCTTCGATACATCAATAATTGAGACAACTGGTCTCAGAAGCTGTATCAAATTATGGACATGACAAAGAGTTGAAGGGCATCATGGCAGTGTTTAAATAGCAGATGCCATATCTTCGGAAGGAGTTCAGTATCCAGCTGAAAGTAACACAAGACATATAGATGATTCAACACAAAAGACACATGTAGTAAGTTGAAGAAGCAGTTGGTGGCAGTAGAGTCCCAAACAAAATGCACCACCACTGAAGTCAGATAGATGTGTGGTATTTCACCAATGGTTTGAGGCTCCTGCTGAACACGGCAGTTGAACAGCCAACGAGAAGGCCACTATCTATTCACCAATCTGCATGGGCAAGCTGGTAACATCCTATACAGTATCCCAGGTGGAGCGGCATACAAAGACACTGTAATGGCACAGAAGGGCTATTACAAGACCAGCAGCTGGTATAAACTCAAAGCCAAAATCCACTTGAGTGACCAGTCTGTACAAGAGTTTGCATCTGCAAGTGAGCTGTTAGCCCACCAGGCCCTTGTTGCGTTACTAAAGCACTTCGTCCACAGTCAAGTAGCCCATGCTTTCGTTGATGAAGTGGAGGACCACAATCTCCTGCTGGGTGGTCAAAGGTCAGTCAATCAGGTTATGAATCTAGAGCCTACAGAAGTGGTAAGCAGACCACCAGCAAGGCTGCAAGAGGCAAGGGCTAGAGTATTCATGGGAACATGGTTGCCAGAGGTCAAGTGCCACACGACTCGATTGTCCATAGGCTGCAGTGTGGGGACATCAGATAAGGTCAACCAAGATGCAGTAACGGCTAATGTGAAGAAGGACCCACTAGCATCATCACCCTTATCACCTTGTTTCACATGCAATGTGCTAGCCAAGATAACAAAGACAGCCTTAATTCTGAGGGCCATACAGGGGATAAGCCATGCCTTAAGACCATCAACACTGTGGCATGTGTGGCCATCATCAAACATAACAACACTGCAGCAATCTCTGAGAAAAAGTCAAGCTGGTCCTACACAGGGCACCTGGGTAGACCCTCCCTGTCTTGAATGAGGCACTGGTGGAATTGACTCTGGGGCTTAGCATGCTAGAAACCTGGCTATATGTCACAAAAATCACAAACAAGTTCATCCTGGGACTCCATGTCCTGGGAGCATACAATTCAGTAATGGACTTTGAAGCACCATGTGACATGACAGGGCCAAGAAAAGGTGTGGTTATACCATTCTGGAGTACAACCACGATAATCCCTCCTTACAATGACCAGTGATGATGTGATACCAGCTCAGTGTGAGAATCGTGACTACATGCAGTTCGGTGATTCCCTGGAGGTAGTGAACACCCTGGCAAAACCAAACTTAGGACTTCCACAGAGAAAGACTGCACATACATAGCCAAATTCAACGGGAGGTGCCTGTCAGATTGGTTGAACATCACAAAGTGCAAAAGCACACCAAGACACATGCACTCTGCCTGGAGGCATGCACTCACTGCCAGAAAGCCCAACAACAATCAAGCAGCCTGAAACTACAAGTGCTCCCAACATATGGCTGGGACTGTGCCACCCTATGGAGGGTGCAGGTGAACAGTGAAGTAGAGGCAAGACAGCATATCAAGTTGAAAGACATCACTGACTAGTATAATGTGGGGGCATCCTTTATGAGAATTACCACAGACACTGCAGGGCCCTTTCCAGACAGCAAGAGTAGAATCAATACCAAGACTGTCAAGGACAACTTCACCAAGTGCCCAAGGGGCATCAACAGTGGCAGACATTCTGGTGACCAACGTCTTTTGCCCTCTGAGATCCTGAGGGAACTGCACAACAATGAAGCATGAAACTTTGAATCATGACCCCTGCAGGTGTTATGGCACCTGAGAGAAGCTGAAAGAACTGTACCAGCCCTCTGAATTCACAATTGTATGGCATGGTGAAAATATATGTGAAAATAGTGGAAGAACACTTGCAGGAAGGTGATTTTGATGCACCAGAGAGAATGGGATGAGAGATCACCCCTCTTCCTGCTAGCCTACAGAGCACTAACCCACAAAACCAGAGGCACTGTGCCTGCCTGCCAGCCTGCCAGTATGGTCTTTTGGAGGCAGTCAGTCTGCCCTGTGACCTGCTATATGGGGCTTCCCCTGGTAAGAAATAGCCTACAACCAACTACACAATGCACCATGTTGAATGGCCACTGCATGACACCTATTACTATATCCCCCACTGTCTGACGACAGGACAGGATGAAGGTCTCCTATAACTATCTAGTCACCTCTATGGGACACCAGAAATGAGACCAAGCATCAACCTGGACCAGAGGAGTGCATCTAAGCTGCAATCATCATGGGAAGACCCTTAGTAGGTGGTCACCCACACCAATGATGTTGTCTACAGGCTTCAGAGGCACACTATAGTGGTGGTGGTGGTCATGATGTGGCACCAAATGTACCGCAGACTAGCACTGTATCTGGGAACTACTCATGACTAGTAACCTTCAGCAAGGAGCTGAGCATTGGGGGATTAAGTTGCCTGGTCTGCTCCTGCCTCTCATAATGTCTGGACTATTCAGAAGCTGCTCAACTGATGATGAAGGTCAAGGTCCCCTGAGAACTATTCAAAATGAGATCCTTTCAGACTTCTAGGACAAAGAGGATTATGTCATATAAAAGTAGTCAAAATCTTGCATGTGCCCAATTCAGTTCAGTGAGTGGGATTAGTGAGTCAGTATTCAGTTAATTTATGAGTCATCCAGTATTCAGATAAGTGCAATGCAGACAAGTAGAAAGAAGACATGAGTGCAGAGAGTGAGCAGTGGTGTTCCTAAGAAGTAATGAATGGACAGAGAACTGATCTCCAGAGCAAAAGTGCTTATGCACAGTGGAAAAGTAAGTGCTCCATACATTGTTACAATATCCTATGACAGTCCCACAGTGTGTCACATTTTTGCTGATATCATATATTTTGACACCTTCCTCATATCTTATGTTTCACAGCCTCACCATGCAGCTCCATTTTACTTATACCATATCCTATGATAGCCCCCCCCCCCCCACAGATTCCTCATATCATATCCCATAACAGCCCCACCATGTGGCACCATTCTGATGGTAACCAGGCTGCCCATTTCCAAAATTAGGCATTTTTTTTAGCATGATTCTCCAGGCAACTCTAAGCAAGTGACAACTGCATTATCTCAGGTGAGACAAATGTCCAATATGGACTCCAAAGATGAAGTATCCTTCTTTATCACAAACAATGCTGAGTTCCCACCACATTACATGGTCTCATAACGCATGAAACAAAAATTAAAATATTCACAGAAGTGAAACTTCAAATCTCACATGTGTTGAATAAACTCTTTCATGTGGAAAACTGTTTTGCCAATGTTCTGTAAGGTACATATCTTTCATAAACTTGGTTCCTACCTCATTTAAAACAATTTCTCCATCCCTGTCTTTAGCAGAGGGATCATCATTAAACCGACAGTACTTGCTGCGGTCAAGACGAGTCTTACACTCACTCACAGGATGCCACGTATATGCTTCAGGACACAGCAGGAAGGAAGGCTTGTAACTCGCCTTGTATCGCATCTTTGGACATGTGTGTATGTAGAACCCCATGTAGTAGTACTGGAGAGCTGAAGCATGCCCATGCAATGACTGTGTCAAGGAAATCTCCCTGTAAGTTTGAAAAGAAAAGACCTTAATTACAGAGGGGTCCAAAAAAATGTACTCACTCTTTGATAGTCAATATCTTTGGAACAAAATGACATGTAGTTACAATTCCTGCGTGGAGAGAGAGAGAGTCATTGTATGTATTCGAAGTGACCACCATCAGCGGCTAAACAGCGTCGATGACACCGAATTGCTGAGCAAACTACGGCTGTCAGTGTGTCCAGTGTGATGGCTCAACACGATGCTTCGATGGTTTCTCGTAGTGCGTTCAGTGTAGCTGGCTTTTGTCGATAAACTTCATCCTTCAAGGTTCCCCACAGGTACAAGTCAAGAGGTGTTAGGTCAGGAGACCATGGTGGGTACTCAGTAGCACCTCTTCGACCTATCCATCATCCAGGTAGTGTCATCCAAGTACGCCCTGACATCTCGATGGCAGTGAGGTGGAGCAGCATCTTGTTGTAGGTAAAATCTCTCATCTCCAAACAGCTCTCGAATGGCAGGGAAAATGGATGTCTGAAGCATATCGAGATACACCTGACCTTCAAAGAAGAAAGGACCAATCAAACCGTGCAATGACAGACCACACCACACATTAATACCCGGTAGATTCACTTCCTTGCCCACATGAACGTGTGGATTTACAGGAGCCCAAGACACACAATTGTGGTGGTTAACAGTATTGTTCATTTTGAATTGCGCCTCGTCAGGCCGGATAATTTTCCTTGCGANAAAACCATGCCTTCAAACCAGTGCTCGCAGCACACACGCAGCACGACATTCACATGACTCATGTGACCTTCGCCATCTGTTGAGAAAACATTACACTACACTACCATGCAGGAATTGTAACTACATGTCATTTTGTTCCAAAGATATTGTGACATATTTGTGCTATGCAGGATGCCCCCTCCCCCACCAGCGGTGGCGTAACAGCGCTGCCGCTGCTACGGTGACAGGCCAGTCAGAGCTCCGCCCCCTCCCCCACGGTGATGTAGCAGGGGATGCCACGGTTGCTATGCAGCAGTAAACAACTCTCGACAGCGTTGCCCAGCAACACCTGTAAACACGGCGACTAGGCAACAAGGAAGCGAGGCATTTTCCCGTTGTCTGGCTGAGGGTTTATAAGAGAACCACACTGCCTAAGGATTTCAAGTTGATAAACTATTAATAATGTTACTAATGTGTTAATGTGTTATTAATGACTCATTCACCATGTTCACTCTCAGCAAATTGATATACCATTCATGCTTAAGTAAAGTTTTCTGGGTAATAACCATTTAATATGTATTATAGGAAAAACCTTCCAGTGTTTCTGAAATATGGTTCCTGCAAAACTTCAGAAGATTCTTAAAATATTATATGGCATTACAAACCCACAAGAGTCTAAAATGTAAACNAGACAGACTGATGGACTGTCAGTCGCAATATGACTTGTAAGGATTCAGTCAAAATGTAGCAACCGCTGAAGACAGCTGAAATATAGCAGCAGTCGCGGAAAGAAGACCCGAACGCGTGGTTAGAAGATTTTATGTGATAACGTGCGATAACTAAGAAGTCAACAAGTGCAGACTTATTGTGTGACTTAAAGATTTTGTGTGTGCCATAGAATAGTTATATTGGGAGTGTGTAATTAAGAGAGACTTGTATAGCTCCCATGTTATAAATACGTGAAGACTACTGAAGACAGAGTGACCAGATTATTGTGTAGGGTTTATAAATTGTGTAAACCCACAACTGTGCTATAATTAATTGTAGCCAAGACTTGTAGGTTGTTAAATAAACCAATTAACAATCTGAATGGCATCTTCAGTGTAAAACATGTTACAATATTGACTATCAAAGAGTGAGTATATTTTTGGACCCCCTTGTATTCTCTGTTCAAGTTGATAAACTATTAATAATGTTACTAATGTGTTAATGTGTTATTAATGACTCATTCACCATGTTCACTCTCAGCAAATTGATATACCATTCATGCTTAAGTAAAGTTTTCTGGGTAATAACCATTTAATATGTATTATAGGAAAAACCTTCCAGTGTTTCTGAAATATGGTTCCTGCAAAACTTCAGAAGATTCTTAAAATATTATATGGCATTACAAACCCACAAGAGTCTAAAATGTAAACATATTGCCATGAAAACCTAAAAATTTACTTGAACTCAAAACTCCTAGTATCCTTATCTAACTCAACAAAACTCCTAGTATCCTTATGTAACTCAACAAATAAAACTAAAAATTAATTTTCTTTACTGTACTGATGCCACAAAAGAAGTCCCATAGGATGATCCCTTTCAAATCCCCCTCTACCTGCTTCCCCCTGCTCTACACTCCACTTTTTTCACATCCAGTAATAATAAACATTCTGTTCACATGAATGCTGGCAATAACAAACACTTCAGATTGGTTGACATATGCCAGAAGGGTAAAATAATAGTTGGAAGAAAGGAGGAAGCCTTGAGCACTGCTATCTGCACCATCCATGGGATCTCTTTACAATACAAGAGATATGCATTAACAATATATACATGCCTTAGGGAAGCATATGTTCCCAGAGACAGTTGACCCAACTCTGGGTCATAGTAGAAGTACACGGAGGATACGCAGCGTGGCAGAATGTCGATTACTCCTACAGCAATGAGTCTCCCATCCATCCAGTATTGCTGGTGAAATGAACCATAACCATGAGGGGGACCATCCAATGGATGCCATGGCTAGACACAAATAAAAATGTATTAATGATTGAAATAGAAATAGCTTCTTATGGGATATGAATTGGAAGTTCGAAGGCCACTAGTAGTACAGAAGTGAACAGCCAGTGTTAAAGGAAGTGCATTTGAAGCTATAATTGATCACTGACAGAAGTAACCCAAAGTTATATGCAGTCCCTACATACAGGCAAAAACATTAGATAAAGTATTATAAAGAGCAGTATATCCTGGGATGAGATGTTACATAGTCTGGCAGAAGTTTACTGATGTTTCAGTGGGAGAGGAACATACTGCATCCATGCATCCATCACCAGGGCACTCTGCTGGCTGCTTTCTTGGCTTACTCTATGATCATTGAGAAGGCAGCAGTACCTTCCTCTGAAATGTTAACAAACTGCTACCAGACTACTCTGCATCAGTTCCCAGCAGAGAGTACTCTTCACAGTCACTGCTGTGAGAACCCCAAATCTAACATGAAGCATTAGAAATTTCCACCCGACAGGAGACATTTATAAATCCTTTACACTAACCCTTCAGTGTGGTTTCACATATGCTGTACATTGGGCATTTAAATGACCTATTTGCAGTTTCACATATACTACATGTTCTATTGCAAGCTTAATTTCTCCACCCTCTAGCTGAGGAACAAAATAATCCACTCTTATGGAGTTCACATCAAGCTAAGATGAAATAAGTGAATTCTTCCTTTGTGTATCAATGACCTGAGTTATCATGTACCTGGTGACTGAGAGTTTAATCTAAATGTCTGACATCACAGCCATCAGAGCCAGGCCTTCAACTATGTATACACTTAAAGAGATCAAAATTGTTGAAGCTGTATATGAAGTTCTGCTGGATGATAACTGTGGGGCAATATAGTTTGGGTGATGATAGTGGCTTTGTTGATGATTACACCCAATTGGTGTCTTCTGCAACACATACAATTAGCAATGGCGACAATGTAAATGATGGTGATGAACAAATGTGACAGTCGATAAACAAGGTGTTGGAATCTGAGGAGTGTCAATGAAGTTTGTGTGGCAACATATAAGCATGCAGTATGGGAAACATTTTGTGGTATCCATGGCACACAGAGTGACATATCTAATTTGGATATAGTGGGTGCATTTGGAAACATTTCTGACATAGCTCTTATGTAGCTAATGGTAAATGAAACCGATAACTACACACAGCATGAAATTTGAAAACTTCTGGTCCTCTGACATTATGCTCTAAGATTAGACATGAAAAAATATCACACTGAATGAAATGTACGTAGTTATAACAACACAGCAGCACGTCAAAAACAACAGGACAACACTAAAGGGTCCTATTCATCAGACATTCAACTTCCTTTAAAGAGAGGCCATATAAAGGACACGAACCAAATTGGTTCTAAATTCTAACAGTCTTTTTAAACATTTTGATTTGTTTCATTCTGGCCCGTCACACTAACAATTACAAAGACAAAACAATTCCGTCCAGTGTGACTATTTAGGTTTTACTACTTGAAAACTTAGCACCCTTGGCACCCTTTAATAACCTGGTATTAAAGATTTTAAAGGTTTTTTATTTTTTTTTAAGTTTTTTTAGCTTTAAAAAACACTTTAAAAACTTTAATACCAGGAAAGTTGCTGTGATTGTGAAAGTTGGATTTTATGTATATTGTGTATTCCAGGCATTACAAAATCTCTTATCTTTCAACTGAACCACATTTCAATACAGCATATATTTAATAGGGCTACAATTTATGCCTCTATGCAATGCAGAATGCAGAGATCAAAGATACCAAAAAAGACATCAGAATCACATTTTAAGAGAAATATACCTATGGGATGACCTAAAACAAGAAGGTAGTGGAAACCAACGAGAAAAGAGGACATACCTGAGAATATACCAAAAACCAAAGGGTATAGGAAAACAGAAGAGAGTAAAAGATGTTCACCCATCAACCCACACAAAATGGAAACTATACCTAGAGCAGGACAGTGACAATGCAATCACGGTACAGTATCTGTACTGTTAATTAGGTCAGTCAGGTACAGACTCTTCTTTGGAATAAATGAACAGCAGGATCAGCTGGGAATGCAAATTACAAATAATGCATCTTGTCATTTTTACTTTTCTCTAAGAAGTATATGAGAAGAGCTAAACTTTTCCACCCTGTGTTGGGTTTGTAGCATTCTGACATATCAGGTGACATACCACTAATTGTGCGAACACAACTGTTCATACTGACACATGATTGAGTATGATTAGAGACAGGGTCTGGATTTGTAATTGGATTTATTCAACACTTACAGACTGTAACTAAAACTCGCTGTTACTAATTCATATACTCTGCAGTTCACTATAGCATGTGCTAGGTCTTCTCAGTCTGCTGTGTCTTCATCAGTAAATGATCCCCTGCTCCCGGGCTCATGTCCTCATAGGCTGGCAGCCATCATACACCATTCTCCTACTCTTCTAACTGCCATCTCAAGACTCTCTCATAATAACAGCTGCTTCTTGGTATATAGCTTTAGTATAGATCACACAGAAAACAGCGCTTCCAAAAGTTCCACTGTTGCGTGCATGTGTTGCAGCCATTAGCGATCAACAACCATTTGTTTACAGAGCCATTATCCACCAGAAGCTATCGTATAGCTGCTTATTTCGCAGTCGTTGCCTGGCAATGGGTCTACATGCCACATTGCTCCCTCCTTAAGGCTTAAGGAGGTAATGTAACAATACAGCTAACCACTGCAGTCGTCAATCCAATAACTCAATCAATTCAATCCACTACTGACACCAGAAGTCACATGATTGTGACTATAAATGAGGTTTGGACTGGTAATTGGATTTATTGAAAACTTACAGATTGTAACTACAAGTAACTATAGTGCTATCGCTAATTTGCACACTGTGCAGTTCCCTACAGCACATACTGCGTCTCCTCAGTCTGCTATGTCTTCACCAGAGGATGTTCCCCTGCTTCCAGGCTCACATCCTCACAGGTTGGCGGCTGCCTCACGCCAAGTTTCTACTCTTCTAACTGTCATCTCAAGACTCTTGTAATTGCAGCTGCTCCTCACGGACAGCACAGACACTGTCACTTCCAATAGTTCTTCTATTGTTGTGTGCATGTCTGTTGCGGCCATTACCTAGGAACTGTTGTTATTCACAAAGCCATTACCTAGCACCGGTTGTTGTATAGGTGCTTATTTCATGGTCACTGCCTAGCAATGGGTCTACATGCCACAATATTATGGTCTTCCGGATTATGACAACATGCAATCTGGTAGAAGGGTATCATTGTATTTGAGGAATATACACAGTGCCTTCATGTTCAAGACAGACAGCTATTTACATATCAGCCTAGATTGTGTCACAACTCAGAAGAAAACAATATAATCCTTCACTGCTATGAAAACAATGAATCTTAAAAATTCCAATGCTATTCAAATTTTAATGTAAGAATTATGGAACTTCTGTAAATACAGGAATTTAACACAATAACATACACATATATAGGAAAACATTCAAAGAGAAAAGTGATAAGTATACAAAAATAAATGGCTGAGAAGTAAAAAAAGGGAATAAAATAATTTGATAGAATAATAGACATACACATATGAAAACACTCAGAGATAAATATTATAAAGTACACATAAAAGACTGAAGAGTCAGAGGGGAAGAACAGAAGCATATAACACAATAACAGATCCACATTAGAACATTACAAAAAGAAATATGGCAAAGAACACACAAATAAAGGCCTAAGGAGTCCTTAACAAGACAAAATACGCTTCCACACTTGCAATTTTAATTTGATCTGTAAATCTCCTGCAGGATCTCTCAAGCAGAAGTATTTCAGTGTGGACAGAAACTCCAAAAAGAAGCTGCTCTAGCAGCTTCTGTTTTTAATCTATAACTCACAAACGTTCTATGTCTTTATTAAGGAATTTCAGTATGTGAACATAAAACTACAAGTTAAAGTGAGAAGTCAAAGTATGGGGTGGTCCATACATGTTACTCTACCTCCAAGGGTGAGTCGACTAGGAACTCATAGAAGAGCTGGGAGTTGCATTCCTCTGGTGTTTCATTGTGTATCGCCATCTGGTATTTAGCAAACAGCTCCTGGCTATCCACCAGTGAGTGCATAAACTCAGGTGTACCAACTTTCAAAAGCACCAACTAGAAATATACAAAGAATACAACCAATAGAGAATGCAACACCTGGCACCTATGCTTTAGTATGGAACCCCCTGACATCAAAAGGAAACCAAACATTGCACTACAGCATGTATAGAACATGTTGTGTTCTGCAGCATAAACTATTCTAACAATCATACTTCTATCAGTTGTGCATCACATCACTGCAACAGCATATGTGCAGTCTGGCTGTCTTGTTGCATCTCTTCAATGTTGACACTGGGTTAAAATATGGCCAACAGCTCTTTAGAACAGGAAACTAAACCTCCCTTTTCCTTGACACTATGCTTATACTCTCCCTCAAAACAGATCAACTTTCTGACATCAATCATGGAAACATATCAAACTTCCTTCTTCACATAAAATAGTATAAGGTTATGCATAACATATGCTCTTAAGGATTTCAGACAGTAAAACTCAGTCCACTTATTCTCACAAAGTTTATATCTGCTTATCAGAAATACTATGTAAATTTCTAGATTTTCAAGAAGACGACACCAACTGAAGGGATGGAATTGCAGAAATGGTGGAGACACAGGATTCTCATTTTATTGCTAGTTCCAGAACATCTTGGGGCCTAATAAGCAGTCATGTTCCATGGTCAAAGACAACTAGAGTGTGGAGATAGCATTCACCTCCTGTAATTTCCCAAAGCAATCTTCAAGTGCTGATTTATCCTGGAAATATGTATGTCATTTTTCAACCTTACACCAAATGAATGGGATCTCAAATTTTGTCTGTTCAGAGATTCTTTATTGGAGAACTGATGTGACACTAACCCATGTTATAACATGGCCATATATAGTTGTTCATATATACAATCCCTTTAGACACTCTGTGACTGAAAAACCAGTGGTAAAAAAATTAATGGTGTTCACCCAAGATATATGGAAATATAACAGTTCCTTCCTGCAGACCAAACAGAGAACAACCGAAGATAACATGCAATTTATTTCAACATCTTGCCCATATGTATGGTACCCACAGCTGTTACAACAATGAGAAAGTATTGCCATAGGACTTTTTGATGAAACTGGAATCCTTGTCCTCAAATCTTTTTCTTCTAACTACATAAAACAAAGAAACAAAACAAACTCTGTGGCCTGTAGTCCGCAAGCGAACTGTGCCAACCGAGCAACCGCCATTTGTTGGCAAAGTTAGTGCCAAGTTTTGCAGATAGAGGGTGTCACATGGTCGACGCAGCAGTTCCTCATGGCCGTTAATCTCGGTTTTCTAGACCAGAGCCACTATTTCCTTGAAATAGCTCTTCAGTTATCATCATGAGGCTGAGTGGACCCCGTTCAAGACCCACTACTTCTCAGAAAAAATCTGGTAGTGCCGGGAATCAAACCCAGACCTCTGGATCTGTACCCAGGAACTCTGACCGCTAGGCCACAGACGCGGTCCTTGTAACTATATAAGTAAATTTTTATTTTGTAATTTAAGGGCTGCTAGTTCTTTGAAGTATTAGTTGTGATAGAGGTGTGTTGTGATATGGTAAGGAAAGAAACCACATCCCAGGTGAAGAATGGATACTTCTGCTTCTGATCTATAATAATAAATCCTACAATCCTATATGCTGCCATCCCGAATGACAGAGGATTGTCTGCATCATTTTAACAGACTCATTTCTAGTATGAAGATGATGCATGTTACTACTATGCATAAATGTTACTGTTGTTTTCTTTGCAATATGGAAATTACAACACTTCCTTTTCAAGTCCACGATAACAGCTGAAATGCAATATTTGGTTTCCTTGCTGTTTAATAAATTCTATACAGTATGACTCCATCATGCAGGCTGAAAAGTGAAGTTTACCTGAAGGGGTGAATTTACAAGAAACCGTGTATAATGTCGAATGGTACACTTATCGGGTGGATCCCCATGAACTGCCATCTGGTATTTTCTGTATACTTCATATGCCTGCTGTGTGGTCTGTTCAAATTCATGACTGGGAGGTGAAGAGCGTACCAGGCGGATCTGCATATGCATCACATAACATACACATGACAGTACCATTAACACCATCACTCTTAAGATTAAAGTCTACACAGACTCTATCAGCCTTGGCACTCCAGCGAAAAAAGGAAGGTTGCAACAAAAAGACAAATGGAAGATTTGAGGTTTTCATGGTGGCGACTATGAAGAAAGCAGTCTTCTGGGATGTAGCACCATGTAGATATTGTGTTGACCAACGTTTCGAAAGAATGTATCGCCTCCATCTTCAGGGTAGAAGTAAAAAGAGAAGAAACTCCACGAGCGAGGAATCAGCGTGAGCAGGTGCTCACAGAGTAATGTCTTATACAGTTTGACTCAACATTACTCCGTGAGCACCTGATCGTGCTGGTTCCTCGCTCACGGAGTTTCTTCTCTTTTTACTTCTACCCTGAAGATGGAGGCGATACATTCTTTCGAAACGTTGGTCAACACAATACTACACAGCGCCACATCCCAGAAGGCTGCTTTCTTCAAAAAGACAACTGGATTCTTCAACAATGTACCACACCCCAAAGAAACCGCGTCACACATAGAGCATATACAAAACTTCGTGACCTTTCTTCCTCTTATCTGCAGTGTGTCTAACAGAGATGTAAAATAAAATAAATCATACCTCCTGATGCAGTAATAACTTCATGCTACATACAATGCCTATTCAAGTTTTCCAATGTCTTTGCCTACTTCCTTTTTTTTTTTTTTTAAGGTAAAAACTACACTTATGAGTGCAGCATGCTGTGAGTGCGCAAGCGTGCGTCTCTGTGTGCACTTTCCCTTTCAACATTTAAAACTTGATACAAATATCAGGCCACTTTAAATCACCCCAGTGTTTATGTGAATGTGTGTGTTCAGATCTGCAACAGAATCTTTGGCTATCTGCCCCTATTTAAAAGCTAAAAACTTATGAAGAATGTAAAAGAGGTGTAATCAAATGCAAATGATTAAGTCCTAAAACAGGGTTCTGAAACAATGTACTGTTTCCTTATACATAAAACTGCAAACAACAGTGACAGAATTAGGTTGTATGAGTACATATATTTGTATGCATATATATAAGTCATATTAAAATATCAGTTATTGCAGAGATAATACATTCAGCCACATTACATTGACTTTGTTGAGTCCAGTGCTCTTAAGAGATGCTAAAACTGCCCTCATATTGGAGTTTTCACCCCAGATAACATCTTCTGTCCTGAGTGTGAAAGTGGTTATCATCATAAAATAGGCATTTAATCAGAAAATGTTGTACAGTTACTGGTGTGTCACAGTGAACAGAAGGCAGTGCTTGTTCACTGCATAGCAGATATCTGTGCATCAGATGAGTGTGACCAGTACTGGGATGTGTTTGGATAATTTCTTCCCTCCAGATGGCTCTGCATCAAGACTTCCTCCCCTGCATGGTATGTTTTACATCTCATAGAGATCAGTTACCAAGGCCCACTCAAAGGCTGCACTCTATACGTATCTGCATCTTTGGCAACAGCATTAGTGACATTCTCACAATCTTTGTGTGTTGCATCTTGTTGTGTCATGTACAGAGTGGGGCACAAAATGATCCAGTATTTGATTTATTAATAAGATCTTTATTTCAATTGCAATACTAGAAACTAACATAAAAAAGAGAGAGCACTGCATAGTGATTTATTCTCTGCGAATCAAGAGATAAATATGGCCACCATTACATCTGACGACTTTTTTTTTATTGCTAGCGGGGTGAGACTAAGTCCCTTGCACTGCGGCCCCTTCTGGCCTATTCTACCAGCCCCAGATGATATGTGAGGGTGATTGTAGTGCAGTTGGTGAAATGAAGATTGGCAGGGGAAACAAGTTCTCGGAGAAAACTTGCCCCAGCACCACTTTGTCCACCACAAATCCCATTTGACCATACCTGGGATCGAACCTGGTTCACCACGGTAGGAAGCCAACGACTAACTGCTTGAGCTATGGTGCGGCCCTATCTGACGACTTCTTCAACATGAACTGTGATGATGTTACTCGACGGCACAAGTCCTCAGTTATCCGTTGTAGACTTGAATGATTAGTGCTCTCAATTCTATTATTGTTTGCGGCTTTTTAGAAAAATCTTTTCCTTAAGGAATCCCCAAAAGAAAATAGTCACATAGGTTTAGATCAGGACTGTTCAGGGGCCAGTTCTCTCCACATGCAAAACAATCAGGAAATCAGTTTGAGATGACACGCGAGTCAAAAGTGTTATGCAGAAAGTCCAAAACAACATTCATTTTAATTTTAATTGAAATTTTAATGGATTTTAATTAATTATTTATGTTATTTTTAAGTGGACTGGGACACGCAGTTTTAGCACACATCAGAACAGTGTAACAGTTTGGATGCATTAAGACACCTGAAGATGGCCACCTATGGCCAAAACATGTTGTCTTAAGTGTTAAATGGTGAATAAACAAGTGTTGCATTATTGGCATAGACTATCAACATTTAAATCAAATAATACTGTAGTCTCAGTATCTCAATATATATATATATATATATTGTTGCATCATGTGACATGTTTTCTGCATGTCCGTGAGCTGCGCATGTGACGTCACACAGCAACAGTGGGTAGGGGTCATATGATATGTGTTTACTGCTGGTGGATGTCCACTCCTCAGCTATATAAGTGAGCAGAATTCCTAAGCTGACAGAGTTCAGTTGAAGGAAATAGAGAAATAGTAGCAGTGGAAGCACACGAGTGGGTGAAATGGAACTACTGAAGACTAGTGGAAACAGACTGAGAAGATTAGTGTGGAGAGCCCAGGAAGGTTCAGCAGTTGAGAGCACAAGAAAAAGAATGGAGAGTGAATTGTGAAGATCAAGTACAGATTAGGACAGAGGAGTACAGAGTGATTGAAGACAAGAAGATAGTGACTTGAAGCGACTGTGTCTGTGTTGAGATCCACTGCTAGAAGACAACTAGTGAAAACAGAGAATCCTAGTTTGTGTGCAATGTCAAACTGTAAATTGTGTAAATCAGCGACAGCGTTGTATTTAAGTGTAATTAAGGGAGGTCGTACCTGAAGTGCTAATATATCCAATCATCTGAACAATAACGGATCATTTTCGTCATGCATACCCTCCTACACATGACATTTTGTGGTGTCAGAAGTGGAAGAGAAAGAGAAAGAGAAAGAGAGAAGATAACTTTGGATTATGGTGAGAAAATGGACTGACAGGCACCTTATCAGGAAGCTACTTGGGACAAACACCCTTAAGAAGGGAGCGGATGTAGTAGTTGGAGAGTAGTCACCATAGGAAAAAAAAAACTTACATGAAGATGTCGCAAGCACAGTTCTTGGAAAAGGGAACGGTGACGCACTGTTAGGCTACTCGGGATGAGCAGCCTTAAGGAGGGAGCAATGTGGCATATTTGATCAATGCATTGCCAAGCAACAGCTCTGTAAATGCAATACATGCCCACAACAGTAGAGCAAGCTATTTTTTCCATGTGTCCAGCAGGTGGCATATGATCGGTGACATCACACATCAACAGTAGATAGTCGTCATGTGACCTGTGTTTCCTGCATGTCCATCAGCTGCGGATGTGTGGGGACATCACACAGCAACAGTGGGTAGGGGTCACATGATATGTTTACTGTTGGTAGATGTCCATCCTTCGACTATATAATTGAGTGGAATTCCTCTGACAGAGTTCAGATGAGGCCAGTAGAGAGAGATAGTTGAGGCGGAAGCATGCAAAAAGAGTGAACTGGAACTAGAACTGACAGGGGCATGAGTTCTGAGTCCTCAGTAGGAGACAGCCACAGAGTGTTCGTCAACTTTTGAAGACTTAAAGTGTGACTAAAAGGCGTCAACCATGTGTAATGATTCAGTGAGACTGTTATAGTTCCTGCATTTTAACTGTGGTGCCAGGAGAGGACCAGTGTGTGTGTAAATCAGGGATAACACTGTATTAAGTGTAATTAAGAGAGGTTGTAACCAAAGTGCCAATAAATCCAATCATCCAAACTAGAACCCATCATTTTCATCGTGCATACCATCCTACACATGACAATATTTTACTGTGTAGCTTAAGCAACAATTTTTGGAACAAAATTTGATGTGGTTCACATACAGGATCTTCTGAACACACTTACAACCACCGGATTTATATGTCAAACTGCATCACATGCTATTACAACCTTTGAATTTAAGTTCATTTTTCTCAAGAGCTCAACACCTGCATATATTGTATATGAAACCTAAACTTTCTTGAAAGAAAATATTGTTACTTACTGAAAAAACAACCATATACACTTTTCATCGTTTGGTTACGAAGATACTTTTGTATGAGATCAAAAATGCAGTTTCAGTTGCTCTGGAATGAAGACTCATACCTGTAATGTCTAAGAAATGCTGATACATTCCATAACCATTTAATGGAAAAGATGAGATTTAAATAAACATGCGTGTACAGTTATCTTGCAATATGGTTGGTGACCATATTCATATTTTATAATATGGGTGGGAGCAAATGCATCAGTGTAACAAATTCATCTATAAAAACACTGTGAGTGCATGAAGTGTCGGCTTACATATCTCCCTCATGATGAACAACTGCAGCCAATTACCTCAAGCCTATGAGCAGGGTTAGCTGGCAACTGCTCATTGAGCAAGTTCTCCAGGGACTTGCCCTCCTGTTGCTGCGGTCCTCTCTGCTTCAACATGGCATCAGCTGCCTCCTGATTATAGCCCTGATTCAGAATCTTTTGACGTTTGCGTTCCAGTCTCACCAACTTTGCCTTCTTACATGGTGGTCTGTTTGCATCTGGACCAACGCCTGTCACAGCAATTCAAAATTTATTACTCACGTTTTAGCAAACAAAATCACAATATTGTTTTCATAAACCAGCAAATATAGTTTCTGTTGTTGAAGTACCATTATGTAATAGATTTACAGCCTGTAGCCCTTTTTTTAACATCTAGGATAAAGCATGATAATCCTCTCAAGCCAAACAATGATAGACTAACATTGCCCAAATCAAAGACTCAACTTCTTATGGCACAACATCAGTTTATTCACCTGGGCGACATGTTTTCCTCACTTCTCCAGCAACTGCTCCTTCCATTGGTGCTGCTGGTACCATCACAGTATCCCCTGTTAAGCTATCCATCTTACAACAATCTTCTTCTCTGGCCCATGTGGTCTCCTCACCATCATGTCTGTTTTCTAGAAAGGTCAAGTCATCCTCTGTCAGTTTTAAACCAGATGGTCACACAGGGATATAAAGAATAATTACTAAATAAAAAGTATAACGGCTTACGCATGCACAAAACTTTCGGCTATATGATTAAGAACCTGTTTATGTTTGGAAATTACTTTCATATTTACAAGCCTCCAATCCTAATTTAGGATCTTAGGTGTGAACAATTTGATGAGAAAAGCAACGACAACATGAAACTTCACTTTTCACTTAAACTAGATGTGATTTTTAATCAGAAAAAGGCAATGCAACACTCCAACATACCCACGTAAAACGTTTATATATTTGAAGAAAGCAGTCTTCTGGGATTTGGCACCATGTACATGGAGCCAAATTACAGAAGACTGCTTTCTTCATAGTCACCACCGTGAAAGCCTCAAATCTTACATACATTTATATATTTCATACCAAAAAACACTAAACATTGCATTTCACATTATTTGTAACCACCTCAATTAGCTGTGAGCACTCACCATGCTTGTGTTGAAGCATGGTGAATTATAATATTGAAAAATGTCTGGTCCTAGTTGGGAATTACATCAGAAAGAAGAAAACGTATGAGAAACATGTTCACAATTTTTCCCAGAAGTCACAAACACCTGTTGCTCAGATACTGAAAGTCCATGTTATCTGTCAAATATCATTATATCACCAGAAAGTTTGTGCATGGTGAGCTGCTAAGGACAGAAGAATCATATAGCTCATAACCTTTCATAAAACAACTAATTCAGAATGGTATGTGAGCAAAATTTCAAAGTCCCTTCTCTGAAAAATTAACTGTAGAAGAGAGCATTATGCATATTTTCTGCAAGACACGGGACTAGCACACCACAGAAAAATTGAACGTAGGCACTATAGGCTGTTTCTGATTAGTCAGTAGTGATATATTGGGTTTCTGGACTTTATCCATCGTCCTAGTTTTTAAGATAACAAATAAAAACACGACGTTTCGGAAACTGGATCTGTTTCCGTCCTCAGGTGAAGGAAAAGGGGAACACCTATTC